TAAATAATGGTACTAAAGATGACGGGATGTGATTTACGAGCCAGCATGCACCCTCCCGTCTAGACGGGGCACTAAACTCAGACCTGGACGCATTTGGTACCACTGCTATTTCACATATTGTATATCCGCAAGAGAGAAAAAATTTAAAAGTATATCAAAGGAGGTGGGAAAACGTTTTTGCAAATTAACCTAATAAAATTGAAAATCTGTTTTTACCAGAGATTTATTGGACTGACGAGAAAATCTACCTTAAATTAACATGAACACTGCGAGTATTTATTGATCCAATTCTACTTCCTATGTTATATGAGCTCATGAATTACACAGTTCCGTTGTAATAGGTCTTTTCAAACGTTTTATGCGACAGTTAAACCGCAGTAGGTGCAGTATATTTTCAACAAAATGCAGAATAAATCACCCGTACTACTAAAACTGTAACGAAAATAGTACAGGCCTGCTTTCATTGTAACATAAATAAATAGCTACGTCTATTTGCAACAGCTCGCCTATGATGTACCGCAGTGCCAAGTATCGCCTGTCACAATGGGAGCATTGTTCTAAACGGTATTTTGTTCTACCCATTGAAGCGACTGCATGACGCCATTAACTCTGAGGCAGATATAGATAGGCAGAGATAACTGCATAGTAAATTTGAAACTTCAGTGTCAACAAAATACAGAATAATTCTTACGCAATTAAAACTCTTAAGACTGTAGATCTCTAAATATTATTTAGCCTCGGTGCATTCCTTTGGAGATCCATGGACTCTGACCAGTTGTACTTAAAGATGGCCACCGAGGGAGCTTTAGTATGTCAAGTCTCACATCTCCCTGTTCCATAGAAGGTAGGGCTACTTTTCAAGATTTCTCTCTCGAAAACAAGCGAAAGATATCTATATTTCATCATCATCATCAGCCGTCCCCACCGAGGGGCTCGGAGCCTACCATAAGTTAAGGGTGATTAGGCCATAGTCAACCACGCTGGTCAAGTGCGGGTTAGTTGACTTCACACATATCTTTGAATTTCTTCTCAGATATGTGCAGGTTGCATCACGATATTTTCCTTCACTGTAAGAACATCGGATAATATCTATATTTATTATATAATATTAAAAGGGATCATCACTAGAAAATCTACAAGACTTGAAAACATTTTATTTATAGTTGGAACTAATCGCTCCCGAAACATCTTAATTCAAGTCAAAAGCGAAAAGTAACAAATGTTTAAAATGTACATAGCATTTTAATGCTTTAATCAATTTTTTGTGTCATGTATTATAAAATATGCTTGTATAATGTTGAATATTGTAGGGAATTATGTCACGGTAATAACAAGCGGATCGGATATTGTATCAAATGAGTGGGGATATTGTTACATGAAATGTAATCATTAGTCAGCGCAATACTGACTCATATGCACATTAGCGTAATATTATTTTGAACATAATTTTATATAACTAAATATGTGAGCTTAAATACTTTTGTCAGTTAAAATTTGATGTCTGTTTCTTGTCTTGTTGTAAATCTTAATGTGATAGTTTGTAATAGCAAGTAGCCACCTGGTTTCGATAAAATAGCAAAACGTCTACTGCCCATAGACATTTCCAGAAAACTACAAATTATTACGTTCTTTAAAAAATTCTAAATGAATATTATCCTTATAGATACGTCTATATGCTTAGCACAAATAAATTATTAAAAAACGGTCACTTGAATGAAAAGTGATAAAACGACAACAAAAAGTGACCAAAAGCTATACTGTCCGTATGCTGTACGAATACAAAACAAAGTGTAAAGGAGCGAGACGAATAAATTCGCGCTCCCCCAAATGTCTGTCGAAATGCGTCTGCGGGCCGTAAATCACCGCGCCTGCAATGTCCACGCAGTACCGCGCCATGTGGTACAAAACATACGCGATTTGCTTATCAATAATACTCGATACTATAAATATATATTAGTTTTTTCGTCATTTACTGATTAGTACAAACCCTTAGTATTGATTTTTATAAAACATCAGCACTAAGCAACTTCTTATCTAGCCTTTAATTTCAGAGACTAAAATCTCTATAAAACCTATCTTCATTCCATTACCTTTGACAAAACAGAGATAACAATATGTTTTAAATAGTCTCAGAAACCCGCGGTAAATGATGCAGTACGAACTCATGAAAATAATTACAGTAGAGTATATAATGTTTCAAAATTATATATCCCCAATTGTAAATTATAACTCGCCAAAAACAATAGACTGCTTCGTCATTCCTGTTTCAAAAAAGAAAACGTATATCCATAAGACGTACTAAACTTTTATAACACTGTTACTAGCCCTGCCGTAATTAACTCTGGAAACCGCGCATTCAAAGAGCCTCTTGGGACCCGCAAATTTTAAACAAAGAAAGTATGGATGCTTGACGCAGACTAATGCGCACGCACTCACGTCGCAAACGTTAATTTGAACTCAAAAATGTATATAAATATTTACAGGACTACAGATTTTTCGAAATTCCGAGGGGAAGTAAATACTTTATTATTCTTTGACCCCAATTTTTATTAACTGAAGGTGTTCGTGGTCCATTTCATACTAAATAACACACGATTATTTTAAGTAAAAAAAAATACTAAACACCGTTTTCTTGAGAAACATTT